CAGCTGCCGTTGGATTCACTGCCTGTTTAAGCTTTCAATAATCCATCATTTCTCCAGGATCCACCTGTCTTCTGTACAGGCCAAATAGGGGAGCTAAATGGGGATGTGAGGGGAATTACCACCCCTGCATTTTTCAGGTCCTTGGTGGCAGCACCAATCTCCACGATCCCTCCAGAACTGCAGTATTGCTTTTCGTTTGCTATTTTCCTAGAGGCCGTTCTGGTGGCTTCCACTTGGTCTTTCCCACCATAATAGCCTTTGCTCCATAGGTCAGGGAACCAGTGTGCGGATTCTACCAGCTGCTGAGTATGTCTATTCCAATTTTGCATTCTGGAACTGGGAAAATAACCACAGGATTGGTTATTTTCACCCTGGGCCCACTGTGAGATGGGCATGAGCTAAAACTCATTGATCACCTGACCTCCACACAAGCCCCTATCCTGACTAGTAGATCACAGTAACATTTTTGAATGTCCTAGAATTAGTGTTGGCTTACAGACAGTGACTAGAAGTCCTCTCTGATTACTTTCTTTTCTCCAAAGTATAGTTACTGTACTAAAAGGCTATAAACCCCTTTGAGGAGGCTGGGGAAAAGTTTTGGCAGTATCCTGGGGATTTTCCTCAAGGGGACCTACACACTCGCCTTCACTCAAGGTATTCTGGGTCTGGAAATTGGCTCAAGTCTGGAAACTGGTTGAGCAGCTGTGATTCTCGGTTTTTATGATTCAGGATAGCCTTCTGTTTACTTGACCTAGAAATCTTCTCTTATACAGATCAAGTAGTAGGCTTCCTATCTATTTCACTTCTAGGAACACCATGATCAACGCTGTAAGTCCGCAAAAGTGAGACTATTCTGCTTGCTTTTTTTTTTTTTTTCTTTTGACGGAGTCTTGCTCTGTCGCCCAGACAGGACTGCAGTGGAGCAATCTCGGCTCACTGCAACCTCCACCTCCCGGGTTCAAGTGATTCTCCTGCCTCAGCCTCCTGAGTAGCTAAGGGTACAGCCACGCACTACACTCGGCTAATTTTTGTAGTTTTAGTAGAGACGGGGTTTCGCCATGTTGGCCAGGATGGTCTCGAACTCCTGACTTCAGGTGATCCACCCATCTCAGTCTCCCAAAGTGCTGAGATTACAGGCGTGAGCCACTGCGCCCGGTCACTGCTTGCTATTTTGACTCTGCTGTCTGGCACGGTAATTACGCCTACTACTTGGCATTTGGCAGTGGGGTACCACCAGTTGGCCCCTGCCACCCTGGGATCGAATTACTCCTACTACATTTAGGTTTCCCAATTCAGTGACCAAAGTCCCCACTGTATGGTGTGACCTAGAGAGAAGAGTGGTCACAGAGATCCTGAAGGATGCTGGGGCTCCCCACAAATATGTTTCTCACAGTTGTGGTGAAACGTGAGTCATCTGGACACATAAAATTCACAATTACATTCCAGTAAGCCACCCCTCTCCAAATTCAACTCGTGAGTAGAGAATACCAAAACATAATTATAAATATTCATCCATCGAGGGCTGGGGAGATCATGCAATATATTTTATAGAATCCCTTTAATGTGGAAAATATTTCAATTCATTAGATACCAGGTTTACAGATCGATAGTGTCAGACCTACACTACATATCTAGAACCATTACCCTCCACTGCTTCCATAGACTATCTTGTGATCATTTAGTTTGAACTATTTCTGAAATGGTTAAATATTGTCTCTATCTGTACCTACTGCCATAAAATGATATGACTTTGAAAGTCACTTAACGTATGAATTTGTACATGAAACTTTCAACTTTAGCTTTTAGTGCTATGTGAATCTCTATGGTTATCTATGAGTTCCTCTCCATTTCAATTAAACATTAAAAAAATATATCTGTGTGCACACACATGTAATTTAACATGTATATAAGGTAGGTGCTTTTTGCCCTTTCTTTATCCACATCATTTTCTTCTCCTAACTGCTTCTAATAAAGAAATCATTTTTTTAGGCTGGGCGTGGTGGCTTACGCCTGTAATCCCAGTACTTTGGCAGGCCGAGGTGGGTGGATCACGAGGTCAGGAGGTCATTTCTTTTCCCACTGCTACTCTGGGACATGACTGTTTGCTTCCATTTACTATCCCCTCTCCCCACTTCTTTCGGGACAGAGTCTAGCTCTGTTGCCCAGGCTGGAGTGCAGTGGCACAATCATGGCTCACTGCAGCCTCGACCTCCTGGGCTCAATCAAACCTCCTGGGCTCAATCAAGCCCAGCCCTTAGTCTTTAATTTTAAAGGTATATGAGTAAAATATTTGTAATGTTTCTTTTTTTTTTTAAAAAAAGGAGGCTTTTAACTTTTCAAAATATTTTTATTTTGCCAGTGAGTTAGTGTATCTAAAGGCAAGTTTTCCCAACCATTGTTTAGGCTGCTCTACAAACCTGGAACAGAATCTCTCTTCCTGTTATTGAGGTCATCTCCCTTTTATTCTTGAAAGTCTCATTCAAAATACACCTATCAGAGTTCACTCACGATATTTTCCACTACTCTCCTTTTCACAATGCTGCTATTTCTTCTTACATTCTCCTTGAAACTCTCTCCTCTTTTGCTTCCATAATATTTTACTGTCCTCATCCTTTTTCTGCTTATCTTGAATCCTCCTTTTATTTTGCTAACTGGTCTATCCTTCTAAACGTGGCCATTCTCCAAAGCTTGTTGCCCTGAATGCTCTCTCTCTACAGACTCTCCCTCACTTATTCTCTCAGTATCAGACATTGTCTCTGAGTTAACAGGTATCAAATAGTTTGCCTGAGTTCTGTTCTCTCACCAAAGATCTGGTTACTCAACTTAATATTTACTCCGAATATTTCTTTCTTTTTTTTTTTTTGAGACTGAGTCTCACTCTATTGCCCAGGTTGGAGTGCATGGTGCAATCTCAACTCACTGCAACCTGCGCCTCCCGGGTTCAAATGATTCTTGTACCTCAGCCTCCCGAGTAGCTGAGATTACAGGTAATTTTTATATCTTTAGTAGAGACGGGGTTTTACCATGTTGGTCAGGCTGGTCTTGAACTCAGTCTCCCAAAGTGCTGGGATTACAGGTGTGAGCCACTGTGCCCAGACTATTTACTGACTATTTCTAAGTGGATGCTCACTATAACCTCAAACTTAATAATTTAAAAACCATTCATCATTATTCTTTCCAAATGGTTTCTGCCTTCCAACTTCTATTCCATCCAATGGCATGAATGAGTATCACAGTCTTCTCAGCTAGAAAGATTAGACTCCCTGTGGCTCATCTCCTTTGTGTCAGAATAGAATCATGGGATGTAGTGCAGCTCTGGATCAAACAGACTAAAATTTAATCCCAGGATTGCCATTACTTACTGTGTGGTCCTGGATTAGTTAGTTACTCTCTGAGCCTAGATTCTCATCTGTAAAATGAGATTAGTAATACCTATTTCACAAGGATGTGAAGTTGTTCACACAGGACATACTGGATAAGCAACAGTTCCTCTCACATCTAGTTACTCAGCAAATTATGCCTATTCATCCTTTGAAGGTCTCTGACACATAATTCTACTTCCCATTCTAACTCTTAGTCATATCTGGATTACTGTAATAACCTTTTTGCAGTCTGCACTAAATCTAGCCTTTCCATCCGTGCATCCATGCATCCATCCATCCATCCATCCATCACTATTGTCAAAATAATCTCCTTAAAATATATTTTATCAAATCATATTAATACAATTTTCAACAGCTTCCTACTGCCCATCAGTCAAAGCTGTTCAAAATCTATCCACTCAAACCTACTTCAGAGATTACTTCCCTGACAAGCTATGGGTAAACTGGCCTCCCCACTCCCTCCCCGACACACCAAGACCTCTCCCACCAGCATGCTGCTGCTCAGGTTGTTTCTTCCCTCTGCGCTCACAGATAACCCCCTTTCCTGACCACTGGTTGTATCTGAAATCTGTACCAAGTACAACTTCCTTAGGCTGTATGCTGGTTCTTACTTCCCTTTACTGTTCAACTTACATGAATCTTCTCTCCCTACTTTGATAGTTGGTGGTTTATTATTGACGACTCCTCTGTCTACTACAATGTATCACTGCATAACCAAGCAGAGGAAAACTTTCAAATGGGTTAAAAGAATGGGACAAATGAGAGAATTATCATCACGTTTTGAATCAATATACTTGAGTATTTAAAGGTAAAGAACTGCACTGTTTGCCTACGTTGTATTATTATTATTATTATTATTTGAGACAGTCTCGCTCTGTTGCCCAGGCAGGAGTGCACTGGGGTGATCTCGGCTCACTGCAACCTCCCCCTTCTGGGTTCAAGCGATTCTCCTGCCTCAGCCTCCCGAGTAGTTGGGATTACAGGCACATGCCACCATGCCCAATTAATTTTTGTATTTTTAGTAGAGACAAGGTTTTACCATGTCGGCCAGGCTGGTCTCAAACTCCTGACCTCAGGTGATCCACCCACCTCGGCCTCCCAGAGTGCTGGGATTATAGGCATGAGCCATAGTGTCCAGCTGTTGTATAAATTTTTATCAGCCAAAAGAGAACAGAAGTTTCTTGAAAATAAAGACAAATGGTTAACTTTTTCTATATTCTCATAAAAATCAAACACATTAGCCACTTAGTCTAATTAGTAATACTTATTATATTATTTTATAAATAAAGCTATTTAAAGTAAAAACCTTAATATATCTTTGCTTTCAATAACAGAGAAAAATGATTTTGAGGCAAGATACGTATCTAAGTTCCTCAGGGGAATTTTCTCTAATTCACATATTTCTCCCTAAGCAAACGCTTCCCTCATTTCCACTCTCTTCTCCCAGCTAACAACTCTACTATAATAGAAAGCCACTGTGATTGATGAGCCTATGTCACAGTGTTTAGTAGATATACACCAAAAGTTTTAAAAAAAAAGGGACAATATGGTTCTAATCAAGATCAGAGGTAAAATAATTTTCAGTATCTGCTACGGGCAAATTCCTCATATGCCTACCATAATCTGCTGGTGTATAATTCAGAAGTTCAAATTGCCAGTGTTTATAGCACGAATAATTCTGGTACATGTCAAATATTTCTCGGGTAAATTGTTGGCAGATGTCACCTAAAAGAAAATATGAAAAATATTTAGTCAGAACAAATTTCAGAAAGCCATCCTTAAGACTAAGTCCTTTAAGACACAAAGAATAACTATTTGCAAATTTAAATACATTTAATGGACTTTTAAAGTTAGTGTTATCAGATAAGGTAAAATTCAAGGACTTTTTAGATCATTTAAATAATAAAATAAGTTTACTGACCTCCAGTAGTTCTTCCAGATGTCACCTCTAAAATAACATCATTTTTGTCATATTTCTCCTTTGGCAGAAGGCTCTGGAAAAGCTGGAATAAAAATCAGCATTTGTGTGTATATTTTCCCCGGCATACTATTACTGAATTTAAATAATGGCCCCAAAAACATTGAAAAAATCAATAATTGGCAAAATCATACAGTATCCCAAATAGGATATTCCAAAAATGCTATAATAAGTAGAACTAATTAGACCTAAAACAGGTGATCAATTCAGGTTAACAATGGAGTTACTTGTCAGTATATTTTCTGCACTGTTATCAGATTATCTTAATTTTCTAGAATGCAGAAGTTCAGATCAAAGTCCAGGGTGTTCCATTCAATTTTCTTCAGATTCTGGCTCTTATAATTAGTTCTGAACAGCAGCTTCTTTCATCTAACGAATGAAGCAAGGCTTTCAAAGTCTTCAATTTGAGAAATGATTTCATATTATCTCCTGCTGTAACTGACAGCAGACACCAGCCATGCTGTGCCTTCTCAGCAGAGTCGCTCTAATTAAAGACTATGTTGAGGGCTCCCAAGATAAGGCTCAAAATGAGTTTCTCAGCTGTGACCAGAAAAAAAAAAAAGGCTTCCTAATAAAGAAAGTAACCAACTTTCCTCTTAGGAAGAAAAGGGAAGTAATTTCACTATTACTAAAAAGTTTTTCAAATCAAACTAAAAGTACCTATGTGTCATGATTCTCCCTACTGCCAATTTCTGAAATACTCCATCTCTGCTAGAAATGATATAATCTATGGGAGAGAACATCAGACTAAGAGTCAGACATCTTCTACCTTTGATTAACTGGTTCAATTCGTAATAAAAATAACTGATATCCCATGTAACCTCCCCCTTAACTTTTCAAAAAGCCCATCTCTTGGATTCCCAGAGTAAGAAAGACTGAAGGTAGGAAGACGGCAAATGTGACAGAGGGAAACATGGTATATCGTAGTGTGTTCTTCATTGTCTTTGTAGACAAACCATCCGTTAAGCAAGAAGGAAAAGAGACCACTATGGAAGGGAAATCTTCCATTTCCATGTCTAGGAGATATCAGCTGATGCTGATACAGTATCATGAATCCTGAGAGGCTCCAGTATGCCACACCCTTACTAGACCTAACCAAAGATGTGTGTTAACCAACTATTTCTACGCCTTTGGATTTATTCTATTCTATCCAGAGTGCAAATTTCCAATCCTTAATTAACAGTCACCATGAACTCCTCCTCCACTTCTCACTCTTAAAACCCTCTGACTCGTCCCTGTGGTGAACTAAATTTCTTTACCAGCATGTATGCTCTTACTTAACAAGTTAACAGACTCAACTTTGAATTTTTCTTTTTTTTTTTTTTACCCTGGGAGTCTTTGTTTTATTATGTGACACCGTAATTTCTTCATTCTCATTCTGCAGCAAATTATAGGAGACCAGCTTGATCACTTATCATAAGAGCACACTTAAAATAGTGTTTGGAAACCATTTTGAGCACCAAAGCAGAGTCTAGCAAAAACAGTATTCCTTTATACAGCACTACTGAACTAGTCTACTTCTGAAAACCTACCTCATTGTACAACATGTTGATTTTTTGATCAATGGTTTGCCTTTCTTCCAGTGCAAGTTCTTGTAACTGCTTTTCATCTTGTTTATTTAGGCCTAAAAGCCAGAAACAGAAATAATGATAAAGTTTTGGAGAAACTCCTAAGTAGCCATGTTCCTCTTTGGCTACTAAGTTTTATTTCAATTGCAAATGCAAGGGATTATACAAGGGAACATTTAGAATATTTGGAAAATGTCAATTAACAAGTATTTGCTAAGCATTTCCAAAAAGCTCAATGTGAAAAGTAGTATAATCGTGCCTCCCAAAACCTTGTGTGTGTGTTTTTTAAGGTAAAATAGCTTAAAACATTTAATCTCTAAACAAATCAATCTATTAACAGTAGTAACAAAAATATGCTTAATATAGAAACCCACATTTACAAAGCTCGTTATTTGAAGGTCTATAATTACATAAATCAAGTGATTAATCAAACAGGTTTAAAAAGGGACTAGCTAATTAAATATAAACCCAAATAAGGTAAGTTTTGGAACAAACTGGAGTGAGCATTTCCTGTCTAAAGGTGGCAGCTGTAACTCAGCATACTGTGACATGGTCCAGCACAGCTACAACTTCCATATTATCCAAGAGAAGTCAGAAATAAGAATTCTTAAAACCTCCTGATACATTCATACTCAGTTCACGTTGTTTTTTTTTTTTTTAGAGAGATGAGGACTCACTATGTTGCCCAGGCTGGAGTGCCAGTAGCTATTCTCAGATGCGATCATGGCACACTACAGTCTCAAACTCCTGGACTCAAGCAATCTTCCTGCTTCAGCCTTCTAAGTAGCTGAGATTACAGGTGTGTGCCACTGTGCCTGGCTTAGTACGGTACTTTAAAACACATATCATGGCCAGGTGTGGTGGCTCATGCCTGTAATCCTAGCACTTTGGGAGGCCAAGGCAGGCAGATCACTTGAGGTCATAAGTTCGAGATCAGCCTGGCCAACATGGTGAAACCCCATCTCTACTAAAAATACAAAAATTATACAAGCATGGTGGTGCACGCCTGCACCCCTAGCTACTCGGGAGGCTGAGGCAGGAAAATTGCTTGAACCCAGGAGGTGGAGGGTGCAGTGAGCCGAGGTCACGCCACTGCACTCCAGCCTGGATGACAGAGAAAGACTCTGTCTTAAAAAAAATACGTATCATGTGTGTCAGACAAAACATACATTTTTGTAACCTGTCCTGTATGGAGAAAATGGGCCTTTTTCTATTATTTCCAAAGCAGAAAGTTAAATCATGGAACTCTAGCAAAACAAGATAATAATGATCTAGTTATTGACCAAGGATGGTAGACCTCATGACCTTTGACTCCACTACTTTAGAGGCCTAGAGGCTTCGTCAGTGGGCACTGCTACAAGTTGAGGTAAGAAATTCTGACCCTTAATAATAATTATAAAGAAAATAGAAATGAAGAATCACAATTATAAAGAAGAGAAGACTCTTTTAAATTATTCTGTAGTCATGGAAGTTATTAGGGTCTGGTGGGAGTCTGTGGCTCATTCAAGCTTTCAACATTTAACATTTTGCTAGACACTCTGCTAGTTGCTGGGGAGACAAGGAAGAAAAAAAAACATAGCTTCAGGTCTCAAGTGGCCCAGTCTGGTGGCAAACACATATACGTGATTACAATATGTGATGGGGCAGTGCCAGTGTGCCATGGGGGCATAAATGAAGGGGACTAAACCAGACGTTAGCACTTAATGAGGGCTTCCTGGCTAAGGCGTCGTCAGAACTAATTCTAATTATGGATCATCTGTTGTAGAATTTTAATGTCACCACTAGTACCACATTGTGCACATGTCACAAATGGAAACCAGGCTGACATTACTTAATAGATACCTGCTGGTTCAAAGGTATCAGAAAAACCTTCTGATTTGCAGTCATATAAAATTATTTTTGTGGTCTCATTATTTGCTGTAAACCTGTAGAATCTGTCTAATTCAATTTCATTATATCAACAAAGATTCAAGAACCTATTATGTCCCACGTTTAGTGCTGCAGAAGATAGAAAAATGAGTAAGACACAGGACCTGACCTTGAAGAACAGACAATGGGGTTAGGGGCTTAGGTTAAGACAGTTACATAAAGGATTATAATACAAAACAGAGAAAGGTAACCATACTTGTTTTGCAAAGGGTACTGAAGCCAAAGTATGACATCTCAGCCAAACTTTGTAAGAGGACTGGCTTTTAACAAGGTGAAATGGGTATGTTAACAATGTGGGCAAAGATACAGTCATGGGACAGCACAAATATATCCAGAGAATGGCAAGTTGTCTATTTTGGTTGGAAGGTAGAATATGCAAAGAGAATTAACATAGTGCACGGAGAGGCTGGGGTTACTCTGCAGGGGCTTTTAAATGCCAAACCAAGAAATCTCTACTTATAGGCAATGGGAACAGGTGAGTAACATGAATAAGACTGTACTTGAACTGGAACGTCTAGAGGTAGGACTACAAGTTAGGAACTGATTGCCATCAGCTAAGTCAGAGATGTAATGAAGATATAAATTAGTGGAAGGAATAGAAGGGGACTCATGCAAGATGCATCACAGAGGTAGACCCTACTGGACTTTGAATCATCCAGTGAGTAGTGGATAAAAGCAGAGGCTTTGGAATCTCATTGCTTGGGTTCAAATCCTTGCTTCTCCCCTCGCTGGCTGAGTGACCTTTGCAAATTTAACCTTTCAGTTTCCTCATCTATCAAATGTATAAAATGAGGGAAAACAAGCTGTTTTTTTTTTTATTTAAAAATTTTTTTAAAAGCTGGGAATGGTTGCACACACCCGTAGTTCCAGCTACTTGGGAGGCTGAGGTTGGAGGACTGCTTGAATCCAGGAGTTCAAGGTTAAAGTAAGCTGTGATTATGCTACTGCATTCCAGCCTGGGCCACAGAGCAAGGCTCTGTCTCTTAAAAAAAAAAAGGGGGGGGGGGAGAATAATAATTATATATCCTACCTCATAAGGTTACCTGAGCATTCAAATGAGATAATATTTGTAAAGCCCTGAGCTTAGTGCCTAGCACATAAGAGGACTTTGTAAATGTAGCTATTATTACTATTATTATAGAAGAATTGTAGAGGCAGTACAGCCTTTAGAACTGATGCAATCCAATGTAATATTATACATGATACAACCAAGGCTGAAAGAAGTTATGCCAATTTAATTAGAATGCATTTCGTAAACTCCTACTATATACAAGCAGCCTTCTCAAAACTAATTAATTACAACTTTGTGTGGCATTATGCAAAAGAATAAAAAATACCTCCATTAAACCTATGTAAGAGACTTGTGACACCATCAATAGAAGGCAGAAAAATGGAAGCTTTCAAACATCCAGGACTTTACAGGTATAACAGTGACTGGCCTGTATGTCACATAATAATACCTCTAAGGCTAAATGAAACAAGATGAAGCACAGAAGAAAACCTAGAAACTAAAAGTGAATAGCAAAATCTGGATAAATGTTGAATCATAGGTTAGTTCATTAAACTTTTCTCTCAAGTTCTGTATAAAAATTTTGGAAAATTTTCATAAGAGAAAAAATGTAGAGGCAATAGCAGTATTAAGAAATACTAAAATAGAAAATTAAGATAAAAAATAGCCTGTAGGCCCAGCTACTCAGAAGGCTGAGGCAGGAGGATTGTTTGAGCCCCGGAGTTTGAGTCCAATCTGGGCAACATGGTGAGGCCCCATCCCTTAAAAAAAAAAAAAGATAAAAAATAAATATGCCAGCTGGGCGCGGTGGCTCACACCTGTAATCCCAGCACTTTGGGAGGCCAAGGTGGCTGGATCACTTGAGGTCAGGAGTTCAAGACCAGCCTGGCCAACATGGTGAAACCCTGTCTCTACTAAAATAAAAAAAAAAATTAGCTGGGAATGGTGGCAGGCGCCTGTAGTCCCAGCTCCTCGGGAGGCTGAGGTGGGAGAATCGCTTGAACCTGGGAGGCAGAGGTTGCAGTGGCCGAGACCATGCCACTGTATTCCAGCCTGGGTGACACAGCAAGACTCTGTCTCAAAAAAAAAAAAAAAAAAAAGAAATATAAAGCTTCCTTCTTGGCTCCACTAATGCGTGGTCCCCTCCAGGAAGCTTTACCCAATCAATCCAGGCTGGTTTGAGGGCCCTCTCCTCTTTGCTCCCATGAAACTGTGCCTTCCTCTAGTACAGCAGGTCTCATTTAATAAACAATACTTAAATAAGTTTCTCTCACTAGACCATAGAAGCTCATTGATGGGGTAGGAACTGTGTGTGTAGCCCTACTATGTAGGTACAGTGTTCAATAAAGTTCTGCTCAATAAAATAAAGCTTCTGAAAAGACCAACATTTTGTCTCCCAGACCTTAAGACCATGGCAAGTACCACGAGGAGCCTAGTTACTTAGTAGAGTTGATCTTTAGTAGCTAAAGTGGGTCAAACACTCTGGGTACAGAGTCCTGTTCTTTCCAAGTGTTGGGCTTATTACTTGTAGGTTTTTTAAAAGACTGAGTTCAGGCCAGCCTCAGTGGCACGGTGGCTATAATCACATTGCTTTGGAAAGCCCTGGCACAGCAGCCCTAGCTACTCAGAATTCTGAAGTGGGAGGCCAAGGACTTAGAGGTTACAGTGAGCGACGACTGAGTCACTGCACTCCTGCCTGGGCAACAAGTGAGACCCTGCTTCTGTGGGAAAAAAAAAAAACAAAAGACTAAGTTCAATAAAGTTTTAACTTAGAAAATCAAATCTGTACTTACACACACACATAAAAATAGCCCTTATGCAGGACACATATGTATCTTTTACCTACTTTTACACATTGATTCTAATTCTTCAATTGCTTGTTCAGTCTCCTGAATTTCTTGGTAAATGGCTGCAAGAGGTGCCAACTCAGCATGCCTTCTGTTCAAGGACCTTCGGTTCTCTTCATTCACAGGTATATGCTGCAGACATTGCTCAAGTGTTTGGTACTCCTTATTCAGGTTCTCCATATATTTCTGTAGTGCTTTATGCTTCCAAAGCATCTTGGTGTCTTGATGGCAATATCTCCTGGGCCGATTCTTACTTAACAGATGAAAAATGCAATTCCTGTTTTGTCTAAAAACTTGCAGCCTTGTATCAAGATGTATCTGTCTAAATCGATGAGAATGGAGCTGGATGTGACACTGGAGGTAACCATTAAGAGATGGATGTCTAAAAAGCCAAACACACAGGTGACGATTCATCTCAGCATCTGAAATACAATAAACACAGTCTTTAAAAAAAAATCAGCTCTAAAGATACATGCATAATAAAGCTGGAAGGAACATCAAGAAATCTTGTTTCATTTACTGCCTCAGCCAGCTCCAAACACAGTCTTAAGGTGATTCACAGAGTCATTTTCTAAAGTTTGAAGAAAATATTATTATTATCTTGTATAATTCTTTAACTTTAAGGATCTAGATATCCAAGGAAGTCAAGTAACTTAATCATGACTATTCAGTCGGCTGGATAGAGACAGAGCTGGTATTAGAATGTAAGTTGCCTGTTCAGGACTCAGTAATTTTCACTCTCAATTCTGCAATCACTTTTCAAAAATGCTTCCCTTTTAGCTGAGATCCTAAAGGAAGAAAAGTTCAAGTATTAATAGACCAAGAAAGTAGGGTTGGTGAAAAGCCCTACAATTATATTAAGTGGTGTCAATTAAGCAAGAAAAGCAAGGAACAAAATAGAATCTCAATTACATTTAAAAAATATTCTATAATATATAGTATACATGTAAAAAAAGAAAAAAAAAGCACATAGAGTATTTTTTAAAAAGAATGTTAAATAAGAAACATACCAAAATGTGCTGGGCACAGTGGCTCATGCCTGTAATCCTACAACTTTGGGAGGCCGAGGCGGGCAGATCATCTGAGGTCAGGAGTTCGAGACCAGCCTTGCCAACATGGGAAAACCCTTTCTCTACTAAAAATATCAAAACAATTAGCCAAGCGTGATGGCATGTGCCTGTAGTCCCAGCTGCTTGGGAAGCTGAGGCAGGAGAATTGCTTGAACCTGGGAGGCGGAGGTTGCAGTGAACTGAGATCGCACCACTGCACTTCAGCGTGGGCGACAAAGCAACACTCTGTCTCAAAAAAAAAAAAAAAGAAACATACCAAAATGTTAATAAAATGATCTCTAGTTGTGAGATTATGAATACCTTTTGCTTGCTATTTTTTCTACTTTTCAGTGTTTTCCAAGTCTCTTGCACATATAGCATGGAATACATTCATAATCACAAAAAAAGATTAGTTTAAAAAATTACAGGTTAGGTGAAATTGGCTGCGTACAATAATTTTGTTCTCCTCCCCTCCAACAGAGATAATCAAGAGCTAACAAAAGTACACAATGGTCTTACTGAGTAAGAAAGGGAGAATATAAAGTGTTCTAAGAAAAACACTTTGCCCCTAAAACTCTGAGGTTCAAAGTTGAAATAAGGGTCAAGCCACGCACAGTAGCATGCATCTATTGTCCCAGCTACCCAGGAGGCTGAGGCAGGAGGATCACTTGAGCGATGAAGTTCAAGGCCAGCCTGGGCAACATAGTGAGACTCAACTCAAAAAAAGAAGGATCAACATTTATCAAAATCAACCTTTACTTTCTCCAGTGATCCTACTATGCTAGGAGGTGCATTGATATATTAGCTCATTTGTTCACTATAAGCCTGTTAACTTACCATTTTCACCTAGGAAATAAACATTCAGAATGGTCTTTAAAATATTCAGTTTCCAGAGTTCTACTGATAGATTTTAGGATAGTGCATCACATTATTAAAAGAACTGTGGAAGAAAGCACCAATGGCCAGCTGTCACAAACATTACACTCCACCACCCCCATATTTCAAGCACGTCAGAAAAAGTGTGTCCATTTGCTAACAGACAGAATAAAAGGATGACAAATACATGTTTGTACGAATACTTATTGCTAAAATTTCCATTTTAGGAACAGAGTAGAATGCATAATTTTCAAGGTCATGAATCTCAACATTAAGGAAACAAACAAAAAAAAACCAAGATGTTTGCTCTCCAAGGTTAACTACACTTGGGAACAGCACGACTTCTCCATTACCCATCACAGTAACAGTATTACTCTGATGCTTTGGGGAAAGTTCTAAGTGTAGGCAGATCAGAAGCGACAGCCCGCGGGGCAGCAGCACGGGCAAACCATGCTGTGTAACTCAGTATATGGAGTGATTCCATAAAGAGGTAATACAAGAGGCGGCGGCGAAGATCAGGAACGAACTGGGCACAGTACCTAAGAAAAAGAAGAACAGACGTCAGCTCTCTACTGAGGTCGGAACCTTCAGAGACCCGCCACATTTCAGCCCTACAAACCCGAAATCACGTTGACTTCCTGGTTCACTTCTTCCGGGTTAACACACGCTCCCGGCCCCTCCTCCGCAACGACCTCTCTCCGAAGGAGTAGTCCTCGAGCATGCCTAACAATGGACTAAAATGACAAAAATGAGCTAAATGAGAAAAATGACAAAACGAGAATGAAATTGTAATGAGACAACCGCCCCCGCGCCGTCCTTATCCAGAACGTGAGCCCAGAGCTGCGGTGGAGATGGTGTGAGGCAGGGAGGGCCCAAGGCGGGACTAAACTACATCTCCCAGGGAGCCCACCAAAGAATCCTGGGAGTTGTAGTTTACCTTGCCGCAGCCTCCAACCCCCTCTATCCACTATCCAGCCAAAGGTGGAGCTTTTGGTTTTCACCATTAACTGCAAACCTAGAAGAGAGATTCTCTACGATTCTGATTAAGAGATCAAGATTTAGAACATATTGCATGTGAAATTACAATAATTTCCTTATATATTAGAAGCCCCTAGAGCACTGCTTTCTGATTTTTTAAGAAACAAAGACTCCTTTTTCATCATCCACAAATGTAGAAGATTCTGCGTGTAGTTTCTATACTTTCAGCTTCATTGCTTCAGAAAATACCTAATGACTAAAGGATGATACAAATAAATTTGTATTTTAAAAGTAATAACAGGACCCAAAAGTTAGGAGACTGTGTATTTCCACATGTTAGTGATTTTATAATGTTCTTTGCACATGGGAATGTAGGGGCTTAACCTAGATTCATGGCTTACGAACCACTGATTAAGTGAAGAATGAAAGCTCCAGTTAATAAACAACTGTAGGAAAATGCAAGCATATTGTCCTACTTTGACTAATCCAGTGGGATCCAGCCCTTGGCTATCACATTTACAGTCTTTCTATCTCCATGCCTCAATTTTTCCTCCTGAAAGAAAAGGCAAAAAATGTTCCATATTACTGACTTTACAGAGTATTTTCTTAGATTATAATCACATACATAGAAAGGAGAATTAACTATATATGCAAAATTATATCTGACATTTATAACCAACTTCAAGGTACCTACTTCTATGTACTATGTATTAAATACTGTTCTAAATGGTTTTACCTTATTAATTCATCTAATTTTTACAACCTTAAAATACTCATTTTGCAGAGGAGAAAATTAAAGCACATAGAACTAAAGTAGCTTATCCAAGGTAAAAAAACAGTAAGTGATAGGGCCAATATTCAATTAAGGCAATCTGCTTTAATGATCTGTGGCTCCTAAGCTCTGATATAGGGTCTCCCTGCTCCAAAAAGGAAAATAAAACCTTCAATCATGTATTCAATAAATACTGAACACCAGTTATGTGCTATTCACTATTCTAGTCATGAGGATTTAGCAATGAACAGAAAAGACAAAAACCTTTGCCCACATGGAGCTTATGTTCCAGTAGGGGAAAAGTTCCAAAGGATCTACATAAAGTCATTCTCCTAAGTTATCCAAAAAGTTATTTAATTCTTTAATTTGATTTGTGTATTCAGCTATATGACTTGAGTATTATATATAAAGCTTTATTCGCCTTAAAAAATTAGTCTTGGTTGGGCATGGTGGCTCATGCCTGTAATCCTAGCACTTTGGGAGGCTGAGCCAGATGGATCACCTGAGGTCAGGAGTTCAAGACCAGCCTGACCAACATGGAGAAATCCCATCTCTACTAAAAATACAAAATTAGCTGGGCGTGGTGGCACATGCCCGTAATCCCAGCTACATGGAGAATGAGGCAGGAGAATCGCTTGAACACAGGAGGAGGAGGTGGTGGTGAGCCAAGACTGCGCCATTGCACTCCAGCCTGGGCAACAAGAGCGAAACTCCATCTCAAAATGAAACAAAACAAAACAAAAAAAGTAGTCTTACTGCTATGGACTGAATTGTTTATATTCATAATCATGTTCATATTACTAATACTTATTTTTAAAATTCATATATTGAAGCCCTAACCCCTCCAATACATGTGACTCTATTGGAGATAGGGCCTTTAAGGTGATTAAGGTTAGATGAGGTCATAAGAGTAGAGCCCTGACATAATAGGATTAGTGCCTTCCTAAAAAGACACCAGAGATCTTGCTCACTCTCCCTGCCCAAACAAAAAAGAGGTTATATGAGTACCCTGTGAGATGGTGGCCACCTACAAACCAAGAGAAAAGGTATCAGACTGAAACCTACCTTGCTGCCACCTTGATCTTAGACTTCCCAGTCTCGCAAGAGGCTAAGAAACAAATTTCTGTTGTTTAGGCCACCAACTCGGTGGTTTTTTTTTTGTTTGTTTTTTGAGGCGGAGTCTTGCTCTGTCACCAGGCTGGAGTGCAGTGGCTTGTTCTTGGCTCACTGCAACCTCCACCTCCTGGGTTCAAGCAATTCTCCTGCCTCAGCCTCCTGAGTAGCTGGGACTACAGGTGCGTGCCACCACGCTCAGCTAATTTTTGTATTTTTAGTAGGGATAGCGTTTCACCATGTTGACCAGATGGTCTTGATCTCTTGACTTTGTGATCCGCCTGCCTCAGCCTCCCAAAGTGCTGGGATTACAGGCGTGAGCCACCGCGCCCAGATTTTTTTTTTTTTTTTTTTAACTAGGGATGGGGGGTCTCACTATGTTGACCAGGCTGGTCTCAAACTCCCAGCCTCCTAAAATCCTGGGATTGCAGGTGTGAGCTACGATGCCCAGCCCAGGCTGTTTTTTTGTTATGGCAGCCAAGTTGTTCCGACTATGCAGAACAACTTAGAAATTTAGAACTCAGGCTGGGCGCAGTGGCTCATGGCTGTAATTGCAGCACTTTGGGAGGCCGAGGCGGGTGGATCACTTGAGGCCAGGAGTTTGAGACCAGCCTAATCAATATGGTGAAACCCCATCTCTGCTAAAAATACAAAAATTAGCCAAGCGTGATGGTACGAACTTGTAATCCCAGCTATTCAGGAGGCTGAGACATGAGACTCACTTGAACCTGGGAAGTGGAGACTGCAGTGAGCTTTCACGCCACCTCACCCCAGCCTGGGTGACAGAGCAAGACACTCTCTCAAAAACAAAAACAAAACAAAACACAAAACAGCGAGACCTTGTTCTTTTTTTTTTTTTTTTTGGAGACGGAGTCTCGCTCTGTCGCCCAGGCTGGAGTGCAGTGGCCGGATCTCAGCTCACTGCAAGCTCCGCCTCCCGGGTCTATGCCATTCTCCTGCCTCAGCCTCCCGAGTAGCTGGGACTACAGGCGCCCGCCACCTTGCCCGGCTAGTTTTTTTTGTATTTTTAGTAGAGACAGGGTTTCACCGTGTTAGCCAGGATGGTCTCGATCTCCTGACCTCGTGATCCGCCCGTCTCGGCCTCCCAAAGTGCTGGGATTACAGGCTTGAGCCACCGCGCCCGGCCTTTGTTCTTAAGAAAATAAAAACTTTTTAATATTATCTAATATCCAGTCAGTGTTCAAATTTCCCTGTGTCAGATTTTTTTCTCTTTTTTGTGGCATTTTGTTTGTTCATATCAGGATTCAAAGAAAGTACATACATGCAATTGGTTGTTATATTGTTGGTTTATTTTAATCTTTAGATTCTCCTTTTTTTTTCCCTTGCAATGTATTTGTTGAAGAAACTGGATCCTTAGCCCTGAGAAGTTTCACACAGTTAAGATTTTTCTAGACTTGTGGTATATCATGTGTCCTTTGTTCTCTGTATCTCCTGTAAACTGCTCTAGAAACTTGATCAGATTCAGGTTTAAATTGTTTTTGGCAAAACTACTTCATAGCTGTGGTTATGCTCTGTGGTTATGTGGACTTTGCTTATGGGAGTCTCTTAAACGTTGTGTCTTTTTAAATGATATTAGAAACTCTTAATTGCCTAGATCCGTTTTTTCACTAGGTGTGGCAAAATGGTGATATTTTATTACTCATTCTTCATTGATTAGTTAGAACCTCTATAAAGATAAACCTTGCTTCATCAGCTACTGATTGTCTTTGCTTTGTCCTTTTTTTTTTTTTGCCCAGGCTGGAGTGCAGTGGCCGGATCTCAGCTCACTGCAAGCTCCGCCTCCCGGGTTCCCGCCATTCTCCTGCCTCAGCCTCCGGAGCAGCTGGGACTACAGGCGCCCGCCACCTCGCCCGGCTAGCTTTTTTTGTATTTTTTTAGTAGAGACGGTGTTTCACCGTGTTCGCCAGGATGGTCTCGATCTCCTGACCTCGTGATCCGCCCGTCTCGGCCTCCCAAAGTGCTGGGATTACAGGCTTGAGCCACTGCGCCCAGCCTGCTTTGTCATTTTTAAAAGGAAAAATAAAAACTTTGCTAAAGTAAAAAAGTTATCAAAAGCCAGGTGCAGTGGCTCACACCTGTAATCCCAGCACTTTAGGGAGCCAAGGTGGGATTGCCTGGACTCAGGAGTTTGAGACCAGCCTGGGCAACATGGCAAGACCTTACCTCTACAAATAAAAAAATTAGCCAGGTGTGGTTCTGTGTGCCTGTGGTCCCAGTTACTTGGGAGGCTGAGATAGGAGGATCACTTCAGCCTAGGAGATCAAGGCTGTACTGAGCTGTGATCCACCACTGCATTCCAGCCTGGGCGACAGAGTGAGACACTGTTGGGAAAAAAAAAAAAAAAAAAAAAAAAAGGTGATCAAATTAAAAAGCTCGCTTTCTGAACAATTTCTAGGATTTCCAATTTTTATTTTAATCTTATTATTTCTATTTTTGTAAAGAAGGGGTTTCATCATGTGGCCTACGCTGGTTTTGAACTCCCGGGCTTGAGTGATCCACCCACCTCAGCCTCCTGAAGTGCTGGGTTTACAGGCATGAGCCACCACACCTGGCCTAATCTTACATTTTTTTCACTTTAGTAATACAGCAATTATCTGCAATAGTAGTTAACTTTGAGTACTTATTCTCTACCAGGTAATGCTCTAAATGTGTTAGATTTAACTCACTTAAAAATGACATATCTATGAAGTAGGCTCAGTTGCAATGCTCATTTTAGAAAACTGAGGCCAGCATGGCTAGATGAATTGCCCAAGACTGTGCCCGAGGGACAGTCTAGTGGCCAAAAGGATTTGAACCAAGACAGCTGGGTTGCACTGTGACATTGCATCTGCCCCTGTATTCTGCATCACACTAAACTGCACTATTATTCCAGCTCTCCATGATGTGGCTCCAATCTCGCCTATTTCTCTGTTGTGATGTATCCGTAAAAGCTCCATTCCCTGATCTACGTGGTCTCAAAGTCCTG